ATTTGTTAAAACACGAAAGAATATTCATAGTAGGGATGTGTCACGTCTTGGGGTAATCCGAATAATTTTGCATGCGCATGGGACAATAGGGACAATTTTTGCATCCCCTCACTCCTATCAAACGACAAAATTGCCGGATAAAACTAAATAAAAAAAAATAATAAATTGATTGATAAAATCCATTATCGGTCAAAACCCGTCGGCTAAGATAAGTTTCTGCTTTTGTTTTCATTGTGTGTGTGTGTGTGTGTGTGTGTGTGTGTTAGTGAGAGAAAGGGAGAGAGAGAATATATGTGTGTGTGTGATTAAAATGAATGGTGGTCCACCTGTGCTTCTAATAATATGAAGTTTAATTAATACGCCTGTTAATGAAATTTGAAGAATAAAACCCAACAACATGATAATTATATTGTCAATAAAATCGATATTTATTATATATTAACCTTTTGAGTAAATTGAAGCATGAGGATTGCAGTTTCACACCAACTGGCACTCACTAATATTTCATAAAAAAATAACTAAATACTGTACTTCCGAATATACATTTCGTAATTCCCTTTAATACAAACTCTCTTCTAAATGCTAAGATTGTTACAACTTTCGGAATATAAAATGGAATTATCTCTAAAAATGAACAATTATAAAATCTACTTGGGTATTTATAATTGTCGCAAAAATTTACAAACTAAAATGGATTTTAATTGTAGTATTTTATAGGTAGAAGAGAGAAAATATATTAAGGACAAGTTTCAAGGAGAATACTGATGTAATTAAGATAAACAAAAGCCACACAGCTTGTTGTAAATCTATGTAATAAATGTGAATGTTAGTGTATTCTGTAGTTTATTGTTGCCTGTTGTATGTACTCCACCCCTACCTATTGTGATGAAGACCCAATCAATAGCCCTCTGCAGAAGCTAGCTTAAATATCATATTTCGGAAATACGGCATATTTGATAGGGTCAGTTGACGGTCACACTACCCGCAAAAATTGAAAGAGAAGAGTCTGTTCCTTAGCACTTGAAGTGATGAATGAGCAATTAAGGAGAAAGCGGTATTTCCTATTATAAAAAAATGAGCCATGTAACAGTGTTCCGTGAAAATGTTGTTTAAGAAGACGCGGTTCTGCAACTGTTAGGATTGGGAAATCCTTCTCATTCATTTCTCAATCTCTGACATTGACAACTTATCGGCAAAATTTATCTACTGCAGCTAAAACACGAGGAAACAAATATAGACCATATCCATTGGACTACTTAATAAGGCAAAAACAAGCCCGCTGGTGAAAAAAAAAAGTGATTCTGATTTTTCGTAAGAGACTGGGTCATTATGTCTCTGGTGTATTGGTCTGAAGCCAATCGTCGAGACTAACATAACGGTACAACCGATTCTCCCTAAACTATTTCGAATCACTAATGGCGGGTCGTTCGTATCGGAGTACACCTAATTACTGGGGTGGCTAATCGATACCCGTTGCCTGCTCCTTCTCAGGCACATTCGTGTTTGTACAGAAACCACATAGCCTAGTTGTTGTTTATATTATAAATATCCAGACAGGAACTTAATTACATATCATCTTACGTGACGAATTCGAACAATGACAGCACGTACAAGCCATCGGCCATGAAGACTTATGTTTATTAAATTCAACTGACAAAGTCTGTTTATTTTTTTCAAATTTTCGAATTAAGTTTAAGTCAATGTAAATTGTAGATAAAAATGTCCAAAGTCCATATTTTATTCTCGTATTTTCAATCATCCTAGTCATTGTTTTGTTAGTATCTGTATAATAAGCATGATGATATTGGACATATATTCTTGCATTTCTTGTGAATACTAGGAAGGAGACTGAATTGGAAATAAATGTATCCAGTATATATGGGTATTATTATTATTATTATTATTATTATTATTAATAATATTATTTCCTTGAATTTCTGACCACACACATGTTACATAGATAAAGCTCGTTATGAGGTGTGAGCTGTACTTGTAATACAAGTTTTGTATTTATTTAAGGCATGGGCTACGAGGAATTCCTTCAGTGTGCATATCGGACATTTTTCCAATCAATTCAAGGGCTCTGTTTTCAACTGGATGTCCTCAGATACCACACTAGTGATATCCATTTCAAGATACTTGTATTTTGATATTTTTTAAAAAGATCTTCAAATCACATTCTCTTCTTGTGATCTTTGATCACAATGTTTTTTATTGCGGGGGTTGCTTTGATTATATGCATCGTAATGTCACACATTTTTTACAGCTACTGTCTCTGTAATCGTGCCCGAGTAATTATTATAAGTTCATGGTGTTGGTTACTGAGAAAAAAAGTTTTACGATAATAAACAGATTATTTATTCTTTTCATCCACATGCTCTATCCTATAATTTTCGGAGTATCGTCACTATTCCGTACAGGGAAATGTTTGAAAATGGCCGTATATTACATTCAAATATTAGCTTCAGTAGATATCCGTGTTTGAAAAAAAGTGCAGTGTGTGTGTTTAAAACTATGTATTACTTCTTCAGGGCTGTATACTCAAGTAAACTTAATAAGGAAAATATTTTCTTTTATAGGGTTCGAACCTTCATCCAACTTGTTAGAAACCAGTGTATGATCCGACGTACCTTAGACCGAATAGTAACACATAGTATCACAGCCCAGCAACGTACTATTCACCTAAATAAAGAACGCATACTTTTTCCTGATTTTCTCTGATATTAGTGCTAACTAAAAACAAGAATCTACCAATAACATCGTTAGGTAAAGGTGAGATAAAGAAGCATAGACGTCACGCTTTTAATATTCGGCAGCCTATCACATTTCATTACTAAATTCTGAATATGAGAGTAATCTATGCAAAGAATTATATATTACTATTAATAAAACCTGTCTTTAAATTAGTTAAAATGTCATTTCTGTAATGACAGAGTCGTAGTAAAAACGAAAAGCATCTCTACAACAGCTTAAAGTGAGTCATGTTTTTTCTCCCTAACGTATATTTTGTACTTATTAAATCCTATTTTCTGATGATACTAGTTCAGCGTTGAAATATGTCTGAGCAAGAGTTTTCAAGTGGTCTTTTATATTCACACTCTAAAAAGTGCACACTTTCTAAAAGAAGATTAGTTTCACAGTTTCGTCGAATAATCGAATGCTAAATGTCAGGTAAGAAGGCAGTAAACGCTTCTGATTAACTGATTAACCAACAACCATTGATTTTCTTTATCACTGATTTAATAGAAACAAACTCACATTGTAGCAAATGCTAAAAAAATTAATTATGTCGTTCTAGAATTTAAACGATAAGTTATGCAGAGACGCCTACATACAGGTAATTGGTGCTACACGCATTTTGGGTTGGAAAAAATGTTTTTATTTCATCGTGGAGTAATTTTATGATAGATAAGATATGTCATGAGACATAGGAGACGCTTGGTACACATATATTTTATATATATATATATATATATGGATTATGCTGAGTTCGGTTAAAAGTGATTAATATCGATTATTGGGGAAAAAAAGTTGACAGCCTTGGGTGAAATGCAAATTTCTACTTTAAAATTTCATGGAAACCCAATCAGTCAGTTCTCTCAACCGTTCATCTTTGACAACGCGCGTATTTTGTACTATTACCCCACGACTTAATAACTACAATCTAATTCTCAAAAGAGAACAAAATCTTATTTAACTTGTATATAATATCCGCTATTTTTTCTTGTATAGTTAATCTCCTCTTCAAAATAATATTTAAGTCATTAGTTACCATTTTCATTATTTTGTAGTTTCTTGAAATAATTTTATTTCAGTAAATAACTGGAACGAGAAATTTTATTTTCATATATACTGCATAAAATCTTTCTCTTTCATATATTTGTTTCACTTAAATATACTTTTATTATTGATTAGCGAAATTGCAACAATTTTCTTGACTAAAATCCCCAGAAAATTTCCCGCCATTGTATTTAATACATACTACTTCGTCCTATCTTGAAAGATTCCAGGGTTTATAATCTATAGTTGTAGAAAAAATTCATTGTTTTTTTATACAATATTTCCTAATGTTCGAATGCGAGAAAATCGCAGATCTATGAACATACCATGCATGTTTAAGTAAATTGCCAAATAACTCAGCAAGAAACTTTTTTTTTTTTAGCAATATCCCAAACTTTTTTTTATCTATGGAAAATATAATCAAATTATGGGCGGTTACTCGTTTTCGAGTCCACCTGTAGTTTTCATTAGAAAACTTTTGCGCAGACCGCAGTTACAGTTTTTAGGAACAACCCCCTTATCTGGTGTTATCAGCTATTTGAACAGTTTCACTATGTTCAAACGGTCAGACACGATGTCATGTTACTTCCTGCAAGAACAATCACCGAGCGCCATCGAACAATTCTATCGACCCATTTGGAGTCGCAAGGATTGGGTCCATCCGTGGTAGGATTTTCAGTCATTCCCCAAATTTGCCTTACGCTGTGATAACATCCAGATATCACTTTGCTGAGCACACGCTCAATTAAATCAACCTTTGTTGAATATCATGAAAAAAATTGTTAAAATATTATGTTAATTTGATTCTATCCTTTCAATATTAATATTAGTTCTGATGATTTTGCAAGTAGCTTTCTTTATTTCAGATGAAATTTCTTTGTCAGCATCTTATGTCATTTAAATAAATACTAAATATATTGATTCAGTTAACAACCAATTTGTCTTTAGAAATATCTTGTTATACTCATATTTGTCACGATAAAGAAAGCGAATATTATCTGTACTTTTTCACGTTATTACTATAAAGGATTTCAACTGTAAATATATGTAACTTTTCATTTGAGGTCAAGCGAAAAAAATTACTTACCTTTCAAGCAATCTTATTCTTCATTAATCTATATTCAGTCAAGGCTTCTCACGACCATCGCAAGGGATCCAATTTCCTCAGATATCCAGGACCATCATTATTATTAACAAAGAAATGTATATATTCATATTACTTACCATTGAGATATCAGTCTCTGTGTCTTCTGTGATGCTGAACCTTGACTGTAAACGGCTCCTGGCGCTACGGTAGGAACTTGTGGAGGAAGCCCTTTCTGCTAAATCCGATTCCATCGCACTCTCAACGAGTGTGACACGTTTGTCTTTCAACTTGGATGAACGGTTTTCACTATTGAGTCTCTTAAAGAAACGTGTAACGCTATTAGATGATGATGCTCCCGAATCCTGACTTGTGCCCATGTTGAACGTATCGAGGGTGGATTTCGCTAAGGGTCCGGACGCTAGCATTGTTTGAATCATTTCCTTTTGTTCCTTCTCTAGATTCGGTCTCAGGTGGCATGGCGACATACCAAAGAAACTTTGCAAGTTAATCTTCGCGCCATTTCTCAGCAGATTATGTACAGTTTCCGGGTTGTAGAAATCAGCACAAACTGCTAGGTGGAGAGGCGTAACCCCGTACCGGTCTTGAACGTTTGGCTTGGCACCATGTTCCAGCAGTAATTGCACTGCTTGTTTATTACCGTTAACGATTGCAATGTAAAGTGTGGGAAGATTCATCAATTCGTCTTGGCCATAATTGAAGGAAAAATCAAAGAGTACTTCGGTTTTGGGCTTTGGAGTCATGTTCTTCTCCCGATGTAATGGAGTCTCAGACTTATTCGATTTTTGAAACAGCGATTCCCGTTGCAAGACACGAGATTGGTGGGTAGTTGCAACACGAGTTGAGCAAGAACCTAGTAGGGAACTTCCAATATCGAGATTGGTGGAATACGTTTGGGATGGGACCTCAGTTGATGGCCTTCTCTCACCGATCGGAAAAGCATTTTCCTGCTGCATGCTGTTTCTCCGTGACACTGTGCAGCAACAATGGTTTGGGATGTTCGGATCGATCCCATATTTAAGAAGAATTCGTAGAACGTCCATCGACCCATTCTGAATTGCAACGTGAAGAGACGTGCGAAATATTAACGGAGCATCACTGGCATCTGTGGCGAGGCTTTCTCGCCGATCGATTCTTTCCATGTGCGTCTGACTACCATGACTGAAACGTTGGCTTCGAGAATCGAAACTGCATTTCTCCATAATGCTTCCGCACTGAAACCTCACCGGAAATTTGGCATGATGAAGCTTTAAGATCTTGCTCAAGGACAAGACGTCATTCTCCTGTAGAGCTCGCTCGAGTTGTTCGGCTTCATTGCTCAAATCGAAGATTGACGACGCTGTGCTGCTGGCTCGTCTCCATTGTTCCTCGGCTATATTCCGTGTCAAGTAACCAGGCACGGACAGGCTACCAGGGCTCTGCGGTGGGATAGGCAGAAGATCGGTGTCCGGTACTGTCAAGTAGTCAATGGTCGATTGGCCACTTGTTGACAGCAGTCGGTGCTCAGAATCGACACGGAACGACATTGTTATTATAGCATCAATGTCAAAAGATTCAATAGATGTTCGAGGAGAGACTGCCGGGTCACAATTAACATCTTACGTTCTTGAATATTCGAGGCATCCTGCAATATAAAATGTGACATTTTGTTATAATTTACACCATTTTTTGATAAAATATATTCATTTCATACAAAGCAACATTCGGTAATTGTGGTAACACTTTAGATTATTGATTCCAACGTAGATGGAAAAAACATGTGTGGTGATAATTGTTTTACTGCAAATGCATTCAAATTGTTTGTTTGTTCGTTTTTTGTTTTTACAAATGGTATATCGTAAATTCCACTGGAAGCAAAGTGACAGCAATTTTCTTTTATTATTATTCAAACTATTTTATTTCTCATTTATTGTGGCATCATCTGATTTTCCTATTGCCAAATGATGCTTTCACATTCATTTTGACTTTTAGTTTGCTATATATTTTAATTTGATCTTAAATTCTATATCGAGTTACTTTTCCCAATATGCATTCTGTTATTCTTCAAATTCGCATGGTCGTCATTATTATTAGCTATATTATTGTAATCATTTTCGTGTGCATATTCCCCATATCTGATTTGAAAAAAAGAAACGGTCCCAGGAGAACATGTGTCGTCTTAGGCCTCCTTTATTTAGTAAATACTAACAAACCATATCCAGCTGGTTTATCAAGAAAAAAAAAGTTCAATTAGTATAGTGTAAGAACAGCCTTCAATTACTTTAAAGTATGTTCATTAAAAATAATTTTGAATTAATGCAGTTACTGATATAACAGATGTAGTCTGTATTTATTCAATCGAAGTTAGCCGAGTACATGAAGGAGTAAAACAGGCAACATGATGACCCACTTCAGACCAGAATTATTTTGAAGTTTTTGAAATTAAATTTGTCATTATACTACCCGAGTTGTAAAAGGGTGTACGTTTATAAAACAATTGTTAAGTTTTATGAAAATTCGAAAAATAAGAAAGAAATCAATAAAAACGCCATTTTTTGCTATTTACGCGGGTTTTCCGTATATTGGGGAACTCAGTTATCAACATAAATGACTGTTAAACAATCAACTTATTGTTGGCTACACTTCAGTTAAGTTTGTACTAGATTGCTTGAAACTTGAGGGAGTTTTTAGTTTAAAATTTGTGTCGAAATCCATCTTTCCTTTTCGTGTTTTTTCGCTAAACGCAATGACTAAGAAATAAAAATGAAGCGTCGTTGAGCTCGTCATGATGTAAGTAACCTACATACCAAGTTCGAACGAAATATATATTTAGGGATGTAAGTCAGCAGAGGAAAAGAATTTAGCACATGCTGCACTGAAAAGCGATTGAGGAAAGGTATTACCAGGAGCTTGGATGATAGCACTGCAAGCTAAAATTGCGAGACATGTGGTCGTATCCTATTGTCAAAAGCTGGATATCTTAATCATCTAAAATCACATGAGAAACGACCACAGTGTGTTACCTCCACGACCCGGTGAAACTAAATCTTTTTTCTGCAGGAAATTATGTGTATCGACATCTAGATTGAAGAGGCATATGGTGGTGCACAAGGATCATCTACCACAGCAACATACGCATAACCCTGTGAAGACTCTGGAACACATCCGTAATCTATGTTGTAATCCTTGCAAATCGGCTGCTGGTTTGAACAGACACCTTCGAAATCCTTTGAGAGGAAACAATGATCTAGATTAAATTTAGGTGTTGATGGGCAAGACGGCAATCATCTCTCTCTATGGAGCAATCAACACACATGATATATCCAGAGAAGAAGCTAGTATTTTGGTATTTGATGATCTGCCAATACACACACCGAAAATGTCACTCTTATCAAGTCAAGATTTAACTTTACTATATATTTTCATATTTATTTAATATTTATTTATATATTGCATATATTATTTTATATTTATTTTGAGTTTACATATTTCATATATTCCTTTATGGTCATGAACATTGGGATCAAAATTTTGCTTTATTGTTTATTACTCATGCATTTCAACCAAAATGGTGAAGTTCTTTATGGTTAATAAATTTACTGTTGTCCTCTTTCACATTTCAATTCCTTGTGATGTGACAAGTGTCCGTTTTCCCCAATTATTGCCATCCATATAGTTTTATTATTTAGAAATATTGTTGTCAACTTGGTTGATACAGATGTTATAGACACCTCATTACAGCCAATTACACTCTGATAATCATAAAGTGTGTATTGTTGGGTTTATATGGGATATCTATTGATTACACTGCAGTTCTGTTACCATAATAATAATCATTGTTCCTTCCTGTTGAACCATTTATATACTACTTGTTACAGCGACTGCAATCACGGCCGACTATATAAGAGTAATACATATATAACCAACTCTATTACACGCACTACAGAACCGTTGGAGCCTTCATATTCAAGGTCAGTTAGTTTCAACATTACTGTATTAGCGTTATTTCATATCTATAGATTACAACGCCGTTTCCCAAATTATCACGATAACAGCAGTGTTGTCCAAGCTCTGCATTATGAAATTGCAAATTGCATATCCAATTTTTTATTCTCTTTAGAGCATAGGTACTTTTCTAGGGGTTATACATCTAATTGCCACTTTTCATCTTTTGTCTGTTTCAATGAGCTGATTGTTCTTCTTCCTTGAGATTCCCTTTTCTAGGGGATTAAGTTCTCTGCAGGTTGCTGGATATAAAAATATTTCAAAATACCACACACGGAATCTATACGGAAAAAGATGTTCAATAATTCGCCTCCAGCATCAATTAGACAAGATGCTGGAATAATTATCCGTTCCTCGTATAGCTCCAAAAATACCAGATTCCTACTGCCATGCTCTCTATTTAGAAGTATTAATTAGAGACACACATTATATATATATATATATATATATAATCATGACGATTGCGCTTAGCATGCAACAGTCTATCGCCACCGGGTACTGATTTTAATGTCCACGTTTATAATTACATACGCTCAATCTTTTAACCTATATAGCCTACCTTAAAACTATATATATATATATATATATATATATATATATACACACATAGTGTGTGTACTATGTTTATGGGATAAAGTGCTCAATATCAGAGATAGGGTGTAGGAAGATATAAATATAAAAGTGAACATTGAAGTCAACACTCAGAGGCGACAGTCTTGTTTCATGCTGGACGCAATCGTCAGGCCGCTGTCGAATTCAATGTTCACTTATATATGAATGAGAGGGAAACAGAGAGGCTGGAGCTGCCCGATCCTCACTTCAAAGTTCAAAAGCATTTAGGTGGCCTTCTTGATGACTAATTATTTTCACCCTAAAAGCCCTTTCACAAAGACAGGACGTTGCAAGTCACTCGCAACTCTATCGCTATTTCCATGGAATTTTATGATTAGTTACATTCCTTATTTCCAACAACTCATACCTTCACATATAGGACACCACATCCACATGGATCACCTCATCCCCATTCGATTCAAATTCCATCGAAATCGAGAAAGTTCTACACACACTGATTCTTTCTCAGATCTGTTATTCCCTGGAGGATACTTATTCGATCATTAGTATCTTATTCGTCAAGTCAGCTAATATCTATCCGACTTACGCATTTCCTACTACATCCCTTTACTCCTCGACAATTCATTCAATAACGCATAACCTTGAGTGGGTCGTGGATCTTGTATGAGGCGAAGTTTTTTTTTTTTAAAAGTCACGTTGTATTTATCACACGTACTATTTAAAACTAGGTTTAATTAATTTCAGCATAAAATCGTATTTTTATGCAAGTTAAATTGTGTATAGTTTCTACTTTTGCATTTTACAGAGGAATTCAAAACAAAAGTATTTTCTTCCGAAAACATATTCTTCTGTTTATACTGTCAAATGAATGTTCATTATATTTGTCAGTGATAAAAAATATGGCGTCATATGTTAGACAAAAAAAAAAAAACAATTTTAGTTGGACATGTATCTTCGGCTGTCAGCCCCAACAATGAATGTGAATCGATTCAGTGAAGCTTTTCTGGTCTAAGAGACATTCATATCAAGACGTTTCTTTTCCTGATCATTACGAAGATATAGTTGACTACTGTTTACAGTAGGCAGTAATGACTTACATCAAAAAACATCAGCCGATTTCAGTGCCCTATGTAATCCTGGAGAAGTTGTTGATGATGATGATGATGTTGCTTCAGTCTTCGGGAAAGATCAAATATAATTTAAAAATCACTCTTCGAGTCGTCAAATTTTGAAATAATTGATTTCGTTTGTTTAACGGCACTTCATTACTTTTATGGGTAATTTAATGCCGAAAATTTATTTTCTTGGGAGCTTGGAAGTGTTAAAAATACGTTGCTCTGCTTTCGCATTTGAATACATAGTAGATGATACTCAGCTTTTATACATATACAGGTTTTCGTGAACATAATTACTGAAGACATTGATATATGTGTTTGATGTTGTACTTTTGTTATACGTTGGAATACAATTTGATTTCCCATCCTGGGTATGACAATAAACTACATCCGCGTCCTGAGTAAGACGATAAAATATTTCTAACCGGAAGGCCTCTGATCAGGAGGTTTTGAGGAGCGTGGAACCACCTCTTAATTGCTGGCGTTCCCAGGTCCACACTGACCCGGGGTGGTAGCACCTGTTAGGGTCCTAGCTATGGGCAAATAGTTAACACCCAAACTTGTGTGAAAATAGGTTTTAATACCAGAAATACTTTGTAATAAAAAAAAATATATATTACTAGCAATACTTTTAAAAATATACCAGCAATACAAACAGCGATACATTCTTTGAAAAAAATATGAGCAACTATAGATTTCTTCAAGGAAAAAATATTCCTAGAAATAAAAAAAAAAAAAATCAGCGTTAAATAACCCATTGAGGTTGATAAGCCGTAAAACAAAACAAACCAAACAATTTGATTTCGTTTAGAGATTGAAGGATATTATACGGACTAATGTTCTTTCGTTTTGAG